TGCAGCAGGAAGAGGGAGAAGCCCCAGTGGTCTCTCTGGGGCAGGACGCGCTGGTGCCTTTGTGTTGAGCCCGGCAAAGCAACGGCCTGACCTATGGCAGGGATTCACTAAACAGGTCAAAACACAGTTTTAATGGTGAGGGCATGTGCAACCTTAGGTGTTCTTCCCTAAGCCTGTTTACCATACTTAGAATCTGAGTCGTGGTGAGGAAGGTAGAGGAATTGTAGGAGCAGCATGTCTGGAAGGCTACTGTACTGTGTGTGCAATGATGTAGGTTGGAAAGGTCCAGTGGAAGTCACCCAGTCCAGCCCCAAAGCAAGGCCAGCTCAGAGCAATTGTGTCCAGTTGTGTTTTGAGGATCTGCAGGGATGGGAATTCCACAGCCTCCCTCAGCCTCCACTCCAAGGTTTGGTTATTCTCATGTTAAGGAGAGATTCCTAATATTAAAAAGCTTCATGTCACCCACTACTATGCATTTGAGGCTACAGGATTTCAGCACACAGGCTTGAGACAGGCTAGGAAAAGCTTGGAGAAAAGCAGAAATTAAGTTCAGTTAATGTCAGCTGATAGACAAAATGATACCAAATACAATAATTCTAGGACCAAAACTGTAAAGTGTTTCCCCTGTGTTGTTGAGAAGTTATAGAGCTATGACACAAGTAACAATTTGGCTTGCCTGGTAAAGCTGCCTTACTTTGTCAGTAGACATACAACTGATAAAAATTCAGCCTTATAGAAAATTACTTGAATTCTTAACATTTCCTATTAGAAGCAGTTCCACTGACTTCAGCAAGCCTGGGTGCTTCAGCCAGACAAACGTATGTCAGTCTTTGTTGAAGTGCGAGGCAAGAGAGGAAAAATGAAGAAGGACAGCAAACTTGGCTATCCTGACTGTTTTTCCTGGTGCCTTGTCAGAGAGAGGGTACTACCATTGCACTGTGCATTGCTGCTTATATGGAGTTTTCTGTGTGTACAATCACAGCAATTGCTTAGCTATTATGAGTTGTTACCACTGCAGTTATGAGTTAAAGTATTTGGAGGATATTGTTGATTTATGGAATTACTTCTTTTTTACCGATTGCTGTAGTATTGAGATACTGATCATCTAGCTAATGAGCTGTCCAGAGGTGATGCAAATCAAGATGCCGATGTATTTTAATATATTTTCTTCACAATCTCTGTGTTTTCTGTACATCATTTTTCTTTATGAAGCCCTCGTATGACCTTATTTTTCACATAGCTTAAATCTATATGAATATGCATGCTTCTGTGTCTATAAATACCAAACATTATTAAAATATGTAGACTTTCTAAAGTACAGAAAGCTATTTCTATACTATAGAAATGTAATTAAAAGCAGAACAACCAAAAGTTGCAGAAGTGTGCAAGTTTTTCAGAACCCTCCAATCCTTCTGTGTTCTTTCCCATAGAGGGCTGCAAGACCAGGGTTTGTATCTTTGTGCTTTCTGTTCCATTTCCATGGTTTCAGAGCCAAGTGGAGATTGTCTTAAGGAGGTTAACTGAAGGAACGGAGACATCTTCTGCTGAGTATTCTTGATTTAATTCCAGAAAAGTGTATTCTGGGAAAAAAATAGAAAAACAGAAAGACTATCAGGAAATATGCTTGCTTGGCTTTGTATGTCCTTGCCTCTGAGGCATGGTATCATGGACATTTGTTCAAATTTGTCTTTATGTGGGTTAAGCTCCTGAGACCCACCCTGAATAACAAAGAGGTTTTAAAATATTTGTTTGAAGTTGAGCTTGGGCTTGTTTTGACCAGTCTGCTGAGCTTCTCGGTGTTTGCCACATAGCTAGTCCGTAAACATGGAATAGTGGTAGCCAAACCATGACTAACATCACCTCTGTGGATGGATTTTGACAGACTGGATTCAATATGGTAAAAAAATGTTGGGTTTTATGTGCTAATTCTTATTTGTTTATTTATCAAAAAAATTTTTTTTGTGAGTATATGTGAATTGGTCCTGTGAATGGGTATACTTGGGAAGATTTGATTGAGAAATACAAACTATTAATCTTGATTACCTATAGAAAGATTTTCCTACCACTAGAAGAAATATATCCAATATTTTTATTTTATATAGTTCCTTTCCTTCCAATTCATTTCACCATCTGTGCAGATACAGAGCTATGTCTCATTAGTAAGCAATGCTGTCAGATATAATGAAATCCATAAAATAAAACAGTTGATGCAATGCTAGAACCCTTGTCCCCGCCATGTGTGTTAGAGGTTTTAGGCGGACTTGGTTTTGTTCTGTCCTGTAGGCTGAATTCCCTCTAGGTGCACTCATGGAGCGCATCTTTTGCTCAGTAGAATTCAACAGCAAATTCAAAATTCAGGAAATGTACATACAATTTACTATTTGTGTACAAAGTCATGAGCTTGCCCAGAGTGTGTGTTTAAAGGCTCTTAAGAACTCACGGAAAAGTTTATTTGCTAAGAGGTTATCTCTTTTTTCTTGTACCACCTCCGATAGCTTAGTGTGTTTTTGGGTTGTTAAAGCAATTCTGAAACAGAAGGAAAAGGGTTGCCTTTCACATGCTTCACTGTCACTTGCCAATAATATTCTCCATTCCCTCACATTACCTGACGTTACCTCATGCCGTTGCTAACGGGCCATGTGAGTGTGCCTGACATCTTAAAATGTGATGGGATTGCGATGTAATGAAGTAATATCAAAGCCTTTCCGTGATATGCAAAGGAGATTGTAACCTCTTTAGAGTATATCAAGTTCTCCATTTTGTTTAAGCAAAAGTAGGTGTTAACAGATATGCGTGTTTAATACATGTATGCTGAGCTGTAAACTGATCCATTTTCTAGGGACAAAATTGCTTGCAAGCCAAGGAAGACTTCTTGTCAAGAGATATATTTTGTTTTGCCATTGCTTGCACTAGACATGCCAATGTAGTGCCTGAAAGTGTAGCATTACTGTAAATTTTAGGAAGAAAGGGGAGGACCAGTTCTTTGCTTCCTTTATGGCCGCAATAACATGTCTGTCTTGGTTTTCAGTCCTTTCTGCTCTTTATGCCAGTGCAGCAGTCACCCTTCACTTGCAGATTTTATCATTAAATGATTCAGACAGCAGCCTTCTCAATGTATACCTTGATAAGGCCTTGGGGCCATTATTCGTTTGCCTATACCTCTGGAGCTATTACAGAAAACAGGCTCCTCAGTAGGAAAGAAAATATGTAAAATGGAGTTGTCTTCCCTAACTACCCCTCCTTCCCTCAGGACTGGAACCTTATATGCTTACATCAGTGATCTGAGGAGCAATTGATGAGGTCAGTAAAGTTTTATGTGTGTTTAGCTGATGTAATGGGAGGCAGAAACAAGCATGACAATGGTGATTGAGGTTACAGAGAATTGCGCTTCTGCTTGGAAGAGAAGGAAGTGGAAGGGAAAATAATTCTCTGGTTGAACTGACGGTGTGGAAGAAGCTTGCTTGCTAGGCAGTATCAAGCATATCATCAAGTTACTGATCAGCGTGGTGGACAGTATCGTGTTTCCTTGGCTCTTGGAAAATCTATCACGGCTTCCCCAAGCCGTAAATTCTTGTGTGTGGCTGCATTCCAGATCTAATAATAGCTAGAAACCCTCTGGAGTAACTAGAAACAAACCTCATAGGGTGGAAGGAGACTTTTCTGATGATTTTGCTGTATTAAAGTCTTTCTGTTTTGATACTGTAATGTAAGGTCTTTTAATTAAAATAATTGTAACACAAACTTTGAAGTATTTCTTTCAGATAGACACAAATAAACAAGCTAGGTCTGTGTATGTATAAAAAACCAGTAACTTGAAAAGGGTAGGCAAAGGTTGTAACTCTTTTTGTTTGTGTTTGTAACTCTTTATTTGTGTACACCCCAGGTAGGTCTAGTTTGTCACCAAAACATCAGTGAGAATATGGAAGACAAACAGAGATGGTGAAAGATGCAAGAAAAAAGCAGTTATTTCGCTGCCGAGTTGTGTGATGGGTTGTAGTGTTTTTGATGTTTATTATGTATTGCTGTAGAAAGTCAACAAGAAAGCTGAATTTCAAAGACCGTACAGCTGTTGGAATGAAAAGCAGGAAAATATCTCATGGTTACTGTGATTTTAGTCCTTAATTATGATGTGACATTTGGGCTGCAAAATAAGATACTGTGTATATAAGCTAGCTATTTATTATTATGAAAAGATACCTGTGCCAGACAAACTACTAAGAGAGTAGACATTATAGGTGTACTATGTCACAGTTGCGAGTTATGTTGTTTAATGCATTTGGGGAACCTGGTAATCAGAGCATAGCAC